TAATATTTTAGTGTTTTACTTTGTTATCAATCACATTTTATATTATGCATATTTTATGCATTTGTGTTGCATTTTGGGTAAATTCTCCGGTTTAAACGGATGCTGTAAAACAAAAGCAATATTATTATTAATATTATTATCATGTAGACATAATTCTGCCTTGGTTTCTTTTACCCATGACCATGATCTTTCCCAAGATGTCCCATGGAAATGTGGATCAGTAACAATAACATAAATGTCTTAACAGTGGCATGGATCTATTTTCTTGTGAGATGTAATTTCTTGTCAAGTTCCCCCCAAGCCCATTGCAACACTTTCTGTCCTTGTTTGAAAAGGTGTCTTCCTAAGTATAACCCCCTCCCCCTGACATGCACACACTGTAAGTATCTACACACTCAAAACCTGCTCTTTATTCATCTCTGTTTCTTTTTCTTTGCACCAGCACAAACACAGACAAGCCATCTCTAACGCAGACTCCTGCTCTCCCTCTATGAATAGGGGGACCTTGGCTGTCTCTATTGAAAAGCTCATTCCTCATTGAAAACGAAGCCCTTGTCCTTACATTGCTCTGCCTACCGCACTGATTGAGTACTAATGGCAACATCAGTCCCCATCTGGTGTCCATCATTTGGATTCAGGGCAGGGCTCGTCCCAGCAGATACATCCGATTAGTCCATCTCATCGATTTGTGCTGGCTCGTCATGACTTAGTCAACCCAAGGTGTCTCTTCTATGACATGCTGTCTCCTTGCGATTCAGTTTGCCAACACTCTAAGTGCATTGAGTGTGACAATAAAATCTTTAATCTAATATGCATCCTAAGGAGGGAGGTGGTGGAGAATTAAGAGAGAGTGAGGCAGCGGTACAGAGGAGGGAGGTAATGCACTCGATAAGATATAATGTATCGTGTTACTGAAATGCAGGATACAGCCCTACAGATGGATAGATTTGCGATTTCAGGTGTAACACATGACATTAAACGGTTTGTCAAATATTCTTCCTTGTTATCAAATCGTGAACATACACTGCAACAGAGTGCTTATTTTTCTTTTTAAGCTCTTTGTGGAAGATATCTCGAGAAGGTGAACTGAGATTATTATCTGCTGAAATAGACATTATTTTTTTTCATCTATGCTCCAAAGAGGTCCAAATCCTATTTTCTCCCAGCATGTAACCCAACCCAATCTGTGTTTGCAGTTTGACGCACATGATAGCATGAATGGGGTTATAGGGCAAAAACACATGCACGGTGCTCCCAGTAATGCTAACTGACAAGGATCCCATTGCCTGGGCTTGTGAGAAAGTATCATATTTATGGATGTGTGAGCTTTATATCAATGAGATATGAAACAGCACTGTTTGAATAGATCTTTACACAGATCTCCAGTACAGTGCTTGATCTACTGTATTCCAATGCTGCTTGCTATCTCTGTAAACACGCAAAACATTATCGAAATGACAGACTGTAACACATAGTGATGTAGTGTAAAAGTGTGGGAATATGTTGCAAAAATTTGATGATGGGGACGTGAACACATTTAGTTTATTATTACTCTTCTTATTTTTGTGTATTGGATGAAAAGCCAACATTATAACAGAATGGTGCCACTTTGACTGTGCCTCTTTGGTGGTTTAGGTTTATATCTCTTTTGATGATAGTGCATAAATAGTTAATGAAATCTACATCTAATGGAGGATGCAATAAATCCTATTCAGAAAAAGAGAGTTGATTGTGCTGACAGTTTTAACTAATGCTTTGCTAGGCTTTGTTTCTTTTTAAAAATGTATTTATTTTAAGAACCCATGCACAGAATCCTCTTTGATTTTCATGTCTATAATTGCTTGTTGGCATGGCTGACCTTCCATGTTGACACCAACGAGCCGCGTTCTCACCTCTTCCTCCCAACTTCTGCTTCTCTATAATTGTCCTGATAATAAATGAACAGTTGCATTGAAATAGGTATGATTCACCCACCCAGTCAGTCAGTCAGCCTTCCGATCTCACCCTGCAGTGACCCTGCCTGCGTGAGTGTTCAGATTACTGTATGTGAGAGGAGGAAAATCTCTGGCTTAAAGCCAGACACTTGTCATTTTGTAAGAACGACTACACACATATATATATATCCATCCATCCATCCATTCGCTTCCACTTATCCTTTTCAGGGTCGCGGGGGGCGCTGGAGCCTATCCCAGCTGTCATAGGGCGAGAGGCGGGGTACACCCTGGACAGGTCGCCAGTCTGTCG